AAAAAAAAAAAAAAAGAAAAAATGATTCCCACTCCTCAATTGGTCCCCATTCCTTCATCTCCAATTCCCCCACCATCTCCACGCGCTCGCAATTCCCAACAATAATAATAAAAAAAAATATCTTCCCAAAATTCACTTCTAAATTAAATCAAAAACATGTTTGGCCCATCATAATCTTTTATTTAATTGTTTTCAAACATAATTTTGTTTTTCTTTTAAATATGTTAAATAAATAATGTTTTGAAAAAAATTATTTTTGTTCTAAAAACCATGTATGAGAGGGCTCTCAAAATTATTAGTTTTTCTAGAACTATTTTATTTTATTGAACTCATATATTTTTTTGGAGTTCAAGAAAGTTGAGTTTTTCCTGAACCGTTTCTTGGAGTTAGTGACCACATGAAATTTTTTATTTGTTTATTTATTTATTATTTTTATTTTTCCGGACTGTTTTATTATGTTTTTACAGCATTACAAGATCGGTCTAATGCAGGGAACTCGGGAACACCACATCGATAACATAACGAACACTCCATCGAGATTTGAGCTTTCCCGAAAAAAGACGCAACCGAGAATTGTAGAGGAGGACCTTCATGCCGGGTACAAGGCTCTTTGGCATCGGTCAGTCAATGACAAATTAAAATCACGGGCATCTTTAACAGAGTCAAAATAAGCCTGATTGATGTCTGTTTACTACAAATGGATCGCCATTACCGGGATTGCAAAGTCGGATATCTCATGAGATAACATTTCATCGATAATATAAGGACCACTCCATCGACATTACATAATTCCCAAAAAACTATGGGGCGGGGAATGTAAGAGGACCTTCATTCTAGAAATTATATTTTCTTAAATTCATGAATATTTTCTTATATTCCAGAAATGATTTTTGGGACAATTCTTCGTTCCAAAAAGTTTTTTTTTTTTTTTTAAAATCACTACACAAGGGGACACAAACAGAACAAAGTGAACAAAAAAAAATATTTTCACTAAAATCAAAAGAGAATTGTTCCAAAACCAACCATTATTAACATACTAAAACTTCCAACATCGACAAACTTTCTATCTGTCTCATACAATCAAGTTCTCAATATCAACCAATTCAACCCACAAATAATAACAATACTCACTAAAAAGTTTTTAGCAAATTCAACCCACAAACATTTAATATTATTTTTTTTACCATTCTAATTGTAAGTTTTATGTCATCTCCAACTCCAACTATCATCCTAAAAATCGTGAAACATTTAATATAATTTTTTTAAACATATTCTAATTTTTTTTAAACATAAATAGAAATTTGTAAAGAAACAACAAAGCAGAAAGAGTTTCAGAACTATCAAAGAAACAATTTCTAGAACAAAAAACAATTTCATGAACAAGAAACGAATTTCTTGATTAAGAAACATGTTTCTTGAAAAAGAAACCAAACAGTTCAAGAAACAAGTTTTTTTACCAAAAAGCTATTTGTTTCTCAAGAAACACGTTTCTCGCTCAAGAAACAGGTTTCTTGAGTGAAACGGGTTTCTTACTCAAGAAACAAGTTTCTTGCTCAAGAAATGGGTTTCTTGAGCAAGAACCCGTTTTGATCAATAAACATGTTTCTTGAACAAGAAACCAAACAGTTCAAGAAACAAGCTTTTTACCAAAAAACTGTTTGTTTCTCAAGAAACATGTTTCTCGCTCGAGAAACAGGTTTCTGGAGCGAAACCCGTTTCTTACTCAAGAAACAAGTTTCTTGCTCAAAAAACCCGTTTCTTGAGAGAAACGGGTTTCTTGAGCAAGAAACCCGTTTCTCTAGCTTCAAGAAACCTGTTTTTTTACCAAAAAATTGTTTGTTGCTCAAGAAACATGTTTCTCGCTCAAGAAACATGTCTCTTGAGCGAAACGGGTCTCCTACTCAAGAAACAAGTTTCTTGAGTCAGAAACGGATTTCTTGAGGAAGAAACAGGTTTCTTGATGTTTCTTGGTCAAGAAACTTGTTTCTTGAGCAAGAAACGTGTTTCTTGTCTTGCTCAAGAAACATCAAGAAACCCATTTCTTGAGCAGGAAACACGTTTCTTGCTCAAGAAACCCGTTTCTTGTTCAAGAAACATGTTTCTTGCTCAAGAAAAGGGATTCAGTTGCTCAAGAAACTGTTTCTTGCTCAAGGACTCATGAACGTGACAAAGAGGCATCTAACTCAGGGATAGGTGACATTGGGATTGGACCATGTGTTACATTTATCGGCAGAGTTTGAGAAGAGGAATTGGAAGAAATTTTACTTAGCTCTTTAACCACGACCGAAACCCTCATTTGCCAACTTCGCATCATGGTTCTTTTAATCCGTAATAGATTGACTTATTTCTTCTCAATAATCTTCCCAAATAAGCTGCGGCTACATTCATCATAACTAATTTTGTTATCCACATGTTCAATTGAAATTTCTTTGGCTTCTTTTTCACAGAGTTGGACCGACCCCAATTTGAGGACTATATCTTCGTCCGATAGGAACCGAGAAGGCGAACTGAGTGAAACTGAAATCAAAGAACCTTGACAATAGAACGAGCAAACCAGCAACCAGAGATGATCGCTCGTCGCAACGTGATAATTATAATTTATAATTTTTCTCGACCAACATCCACTAACTACATGTATAATAACGTTATTATTGGTTAGTTATATAATTCGTTTTACCTTTACGTTAGGTGAACAAATTTTATTATAAGCTTCAGAGGTGATTAATATTGATTCATATCAGGTGTACAAGATCCATGTTCCATTGTCATCTTAGTCAAAGGTCCAAAGCAATTTCAGTATATTAGCAAAAAAAATTTGCACAATCTAATGAGAAATATCTATTTTATTAAAATGTTCAAATACTTAAACTAACTTGGTAGAATCTGTACTAGCAAATAATGCAGGGCCTTATTATCTTATTTTCACGATCCCCACAAAAACATGACCTAAACTAATTGTTTAGGAAATTCATATCAGCCCCTATTGGACTCCTCACATAATGCCTACCATCAGACCACAAAAGTTCCCCATAATAATAATCACTATTCACACCTCTCTTAGCCTTTATGGTCACCTTAAACACCTTCTCTTCCCCTACTTCCTTAAACTCGAGCACCTTCGACTCGACCGAGACCATGAATCCCGGAGGCTGGCGAATGAGCGAATTATACTTCCTGGGCGGGCCCACATTCTTCAACCTCCGGGTCACGGCGCTGAGCTGTTGACCTGTGGGACCATGATTGACGGGTTGTTGAAGTCGAGCACACTGTAGTTCGTTGGGCAGTCGTAGTGAGATGTGGTGAAGTGGGCGAGAAACGTCTGTAGCCACTCCCACACTGGAAGTTGAGGTAGTCATTCACCTTCAGGTCGTAGACCAGGCCAGGGTCATGGGCCCGGTTCGGCCTGATGTGGCCCAAACCGTACATTAACGATGTGGTCTTCGTTTGGTCCCAGTCCTGCAATGGCTTACCCAAGTTGTCGCGTGTCCTCGCTGCTCGTGAAAAACAACAAATCCAATCACAAGTCACCAAAAGCTAGACCACCGCCTTTTAAAAGTTAAGCAGAGTTTTTTATTTTTATTTACCGGTTGTCATGATGGCAGATCTAATTGCGGTCGGGCTCCAATCGGGATGCAATGACCGGAGAAGGCCCGCAACACCTGAAACATGGGGACAAGACATGGAAGTCCCGGACAAAATGTTGAAGGCAACACATACCACTATAAGAGCTACCTTCCAGTTTCAAGTAATTCTATATGTATATTCATAATGCATTACCTTGTCGAAGTCTTTTACAAGCTTAGCTGCCTATGAAAAATTCTCTTCATACTCCATCCACAAATCACTTATTTCCTTGTCTACACGAAATATATACAACCTTCATAATCACCACAGAAAGCAGTTCATCCTCAGAGAACTTAGAACGAGTTTGAACCTGCAACATATTCAATTATCTACACTAAAATGCAACAGCATTAATATATTGTGTAAATTAATGGCTCACCGAAATAGAAAGAAATAACTTGTTTCTAACTTCTCTTCTTGACTTTTCTAGGCTCGGCCCGGTTTTCCTGGATGAAAATATAAGGCTCGGAAAAATATTTCCTTCCTGTTTTACACGAACCGGCCGATCAAGCCTTGGTCAAAACCCGGTCCGGCTCGATGTAAGTAGATCTAGGGCCAGAATATAAACACACAACCAGTCACACCAAGTAAAACAATACATGGTAAAAACATTAAATAAATAAATTGCAACACACACTCTAACACCAAATAGTCTCCTTCATTTTCCTTCTTCCTTTTAAAACTTAACCACATAAACCAGGGCCTTAAGATTATATTTAAAACTCTGGACATATTCCAAATTCAGCATGCTCAAAATCAACCACAAAGCTCATTAAAATTCCTAAGCAACAATACTCCAAAATGAGCCCAGAATTCATAACATATCATGCCTTCATTGCCTTATTATTTCTCACACTTTAAACCACATGCTAGGGCCGTGTAACCGAGGTAAAATGCTCTTAAATATACTCCCTCAGTAGCATAAAATTCATCAACATCTCAGCAATTACATCACAACAACAAGATGCAAAAATTAATGTATTTGAACAACATAAGCAAGCATTAACTTTCTTTTCCTTTTTTCTCAGTGATATAATACATATTCCAAACCTTAATAACAAAGTAAACTCTGAAAGTTTAACCATGCTTTAGGTCTATAAACAAGGCAATTAAAACTCCAACAGCAACACGGATTCACATGGCTCAAAACACCACAAGATCTCAACCTATTTCTTTCTCATTTTTCCTTGAACATACTAAGGCAACACAAGGCAACAACTACTGAATTTTTAAGACCCAATTACACACAAAACAAAAATTATAATACACATAAGGTACAACACATAAGCATTCAATTAAAACATACAAAACACATGACATAACCTTCTCTTTTCTTCATACTGTTCTCAATTTCAAAGCACACAGAAAAGGCCAAGGACTGAGGTTAAACCTCTGAAACTTAGTCACTTTTCACCCATATAAACATTTCAAAAAGGCCACAGCAAGGTCATAACAAAAACCACTAACATTAGATCAAAACAAGCACTTCACTTATCTCTTTTTCTCAATCACATACATACATGCTAAGGGCTTTGTAAACTAAGATTAAAGCTCTAAAACACTTCATTTCCAGCAAAATAATAACACATTAAGCTCCACATATAAAGGCCAACAACAATGGACCAAACAGCAAACACCAAGCCTTAAATTTCACCTTTATTTTCTCTATTACTTCCAACAAACAACAGTGCTTTAAAACAAAGATATAGGCCCTGAAATTAGCACATTTTCTAGCCACTTAAATGCATGATAAGAGCTCAGCAACAAGGCACAAGAATTGCACATAAACATACTCACTTATCTTCTTCATTTTTACTAAATTTAAGCATGCTTCTTAACTTCTAATTGAACTGAAACTAATGCTAATGAACTCGGCCACAAAGATAAGAGTATCAGCCAAATACATTGCTTCATGTATTTAAAATGGGGAAGAAAGAGGCTTGATTTCGGCTGAAGGACTCAACTATCTCTCGACTCTCATAATAGCTCGGCTTGTTGCTATGGAAACAAAAAGCTCATCGTCGGCCGCTGCTTCGCCGTCTCTCGACTCTCAGCCGCCGCTGCTCTCGGCTCACAGCCGCCGCTGCTCTCGGCTCAATCCTCAGCCTCGGTTCGCTACACTCAATCTCTACTCCTCGGACAAGTCGAGTCACTGGTGCTTTTCAATCATGGCCGTCGGCTCTTGTCTCAGTCCCGATAACGCTAACTCTCAACGCTAGACATGACCGCTTCATGCCAGGTGCTGTTCGAGCTGCTTCAGTCGTGGAGGAGCTTGACTCTTACGCACCGGCAACTGGTGGCTCTCCGACGTCATTCCTCAGTCCGCCGTGCAGGGTTGCTCATCTTGCCCGCCGTGAGTTGTTAGTTCTCATCAACGCTGGGAATCTGGTTCTCTTGGTCCGGTGGTGCTCAACTCGCGTGAATGGACGACGACCTCGCTCGATTTCATCAGTGGCCGAAATCACATCCAAAAGTGGACATTTTAATACCCTACAAATACAAACGCACATTTTAATAACCTAAAACTCAGCAACACACAAATAATACAAATTGAAAATAATACCCTAAAAATGCACAACACTAAAAATCGTCTATATAACACAAAAAAATTACAAAAAAGCACCTTCAATCGCAGGAGAATAACTCAAAATACACATTTTACAAAAAAAAAAAAAA